CCCCAAAACCCCAAAACCCCAAAACCCCAAAACCCCAAGGTAAGTTGGCTGGGTTGAAAAAATTTAGGGGATTTAGGAAGAGAAAGTGGGGATTTGGGTGGGAATGGGGATTTTTTGGGATTTTAGATGGATAATTTTGAGTTTATGGCCAGGATTTGTTGGGGTAAGGGGTTTTTGGGGGATGGGGAGATTCTGCGAGAGATTGGAGGAGCGCGTATGATGCGGGGTTTACCGGTTTGGGGATAGGAGCGTTGGATTCATTTACGTAATTTTTGTATAGAAAAACCTAGGAGTGAGATTAGAGGGTACCTGGTCTCTGAAATCCTCTTCCGATTGGGTTCAAGATATTGGTAGTCATGGGAGCTATACTTAAGGAACCTAGATTACCACCCTGATCTAGCATTTCCTTGTTAAATTTCTTTCCTTTGCATGATTTTATTCAAGAATATAGTAGAAAGGGAAAAATAATGGACCAGTTCACCAGAAAGAACACTATGATAACTCCAATGCATGCCCATCCTATTTGAGTTATTGAGTTTGAATCATTTGTTTCAGTGAAAAGATATAGAAAACAAGTGAAAAACACTAAGACTAACTCATTATACACATTGAGAACATTGTTGATTTGAGACACATATGGCTTCTCTAACACTCAGTAATAAAGCTGCCATGTGAACATGAACATTCACAAAATCAGCTGTTTCTTAGGGTCTTCTTTCATGCACACAATTACAAATGCAAACAACATTCTCCTAATCATGAAGAACCCGAAGTAGAGCAGTTGTTTGATTCTCTGTTTTTTGAAATCAACGAAAAACATACAGTGTCTTTCGTGAGTGACAGGGTTCACTATGAATAGTTATGTAAAACACTCACTTTTAATGTCTTTGAAATGGTAAATTGGATAATAAATTACATATGCAGTCAGTATGAACATTACAAGCAAAGCCAAGCTTGATACTACAAATGCAATGGTATCTTCAGTGTTCGAAACACCTCCATACCAAATATTGATCCAACTAGCAACAGAGAGGTTGAGTATGAGCTCAACAAAAAACCTGGTAAAGGATTCATATCTGATAGATTTGTCAAATTTCTTGATTCATCTTGCTGTTCTGGACTCACTTTTGTGAACTCACTTGTAGAAGAGGCTTGATACCAATGCGAGTAAAATGAATAGTAAGACCATTCCGATCTTGTCCAAGCTGTTGGCCAAGATGCTGGTTGATCCAAACCCCAAGCTTTCGAATTTTGGACTGACTGGAGATTTTACGAAGTTTACTCCAAACAGTATAACTGACGCTAAGTATTTGGTATATGGATTTTCAAAATTAGAGTAAGCCATTATTTTGAATGTGTTTACAAGATCAGATGGATAATCTAGCTCAATCAAACCCATAAAGAACATAATCTGTAGAGTATTGGCCATACTCCACATTGTTTCTGAAGATCCACCAGTCAGCATTCTCACTACAATTGATATTACCATGGTTAATAAGAACGCGTATGATGCACCTTTTCCTGAGCTTTCAGCTAATCCACTGACAGGAAATGCTGAAACAGCATATGTAAAAGAAATAGCTGATAACATTGGAATGCTGTTGTTAGATTTAAACATTGCAATTTCTTTCAAATTCAGCTTGATAATTTCACCAATTCCTCCAACAAGAGTTGGTTTTGGCGTGAAAGAGACAATGAACTGTTTTCCTAAAAAGTTATCAGAGAAATTAGTATCCAACATAAGGTTAGATTAACTTACCTTCGAACTTAGTTGTGAATGTTAAAGAAATTTCAGCTTTTGGGCTTTCAATGGACAGTGACACACTTGTGTCATTGACTTCTTGGTCCATCATTTCTTGATCAAACTCGATAGTAATTGTATTTTTCGTTTGGTCAAATTTGTCAGAAATAATGACTGGTCTTGAAAATTCAGAAGTTCAGTTATCAGGCTCACCTGTCACATGAGTGCAATCATAATTAGGCTCAATGATACAGTCTCTAGAGCATCCATCAAAATCCAAGTTGTTTCCATCATCGCATGTTTCACCATAACCCAAATCGAGGTCTGAATTTCCTCAAATAGGAGTACAGTAAGAAGGCTGGCCAGTTATTTGCTCTCAAATATAATTTGGAGTGACAGTTCAGTTGCTCTCACAACCATCCCCACTACTAGTGTTGCCGTCATCACAGTCTTCAGTATCTGTCTCAAGAGTTCCACTTCCTCACAGTAACTGGCAATAGGATTTATATTCCATGACCTCATCGACCACTCACACATACTTCTCCTCAACTATACACTCCTCCGATCACCCATCCCCTCCCTCTCTATTCCCATCATCTCACTCAGCCATCCTCGGGTCCATCTGCACTCTTCCATCTCCTCACTGATCAACACAGTGGAAGTACTCTTCTCTGAATCCTTCAGAGCAGTACTCATGCTCAGGGGTGGTCAGGTCCATGCAGAGGGAAGGCTGGTCGGTGAAGTAGGTCTAGAGGTTAGAGAGGGAAGTACCAGGCATGGGTTTGTAGAATTGGAGATGGTTGTGGTATCTGACTTGAACTTTTGGAGATAGACTTCCGGCTGATAGTCGTAGCCAGCATTATTAGCCTCTTCATAAGGTTCATAATGTTCACAAGTGTCGGTATTAACTGCCCATGGGTAATACTTCAGATTCCTAAAGATGCCCTATAGGTTGAGAAGCACGCTTACTTGAAGGCCCTGGATCCGGATGGACATGGTATTAGTAGTAGTGGAGACTGAAGCCAGAGCTTTAGTCCCAGCGCCGTCGATGGATACCGGATCTAACGAACAGGTTTTGGCAGAATCTAGAGCAAAGTCAGTGGTCTGGAATAAGAAACGAGCTGAAAAGTAGAGGAATTATGAAGTCTGAAGGGGCTTACTGTCGGCTTGGTCCCTGAGGATCTGGCGATCCATGGAAAGAGTAATTTTGTCATTATCTTCGTCATATGTATATGAGTATGTTACCTAGGAGTTAATTTTGGGCGTACTTTGGTCCATTTGGCTGAGTCTAGGGAAGGCATTGGGATGAAGGTGTCTTTGGAGCCAGCTTTTATTTGATGTTGATAGTTTGTCCTACAGTTTATGGTAATATCACTTACCAGTATTGTTCAAATTGATTTATTTCATCAAACCATGGATACATCCAGAAGATCGTGTTTTGTTCGAACTTAAGGAACTCAAACTCGATTGTGAACTGCATGGCATTATTGAATGGAAATGGCTCTGTCATTATCAAGCTATCTCTATACAGACTCACCCATCCATTATTAGTGGGATAAACCACTTTTGTACTATCAGCATTGAAGAAAGTGAAATCAGCTGAACCTGTGTCTTTCTGGATCTTTTCATATGAGATTACTTTGTACTCTTTATAGTCGTTGTATTGATCATTGAGTGGCCAATAGTATTGATACAGCTACCAAGATGAGTTCTCTCCTTACCTTAGCAGAATCCTCGATCAAAGTATTCCTACAATATTACTTCAATTTAGTACCGTGTTAATGTATTCGAGTGCCCACAGAAGCTAACAGTGTCACAAATGGTAAGTCTGTTGATCATCCCAGTGAAAGGGATAGTAGTGCCAACATTTTTAATTTTGCCTAGTAAGGGTAGTGGATTACCAAAGTCAGTATTACTGCCAGTTATGAGAATTGTCCCTGCTATAAATTCTCCAGTTGAGCCAGCAGTAGCACCTACAATAAGTTAGAAATTTTCTTTGGACTCTAGCAGATGAGCTTGTAACAAAATTAGCTTATGTAAGCTAGAACTAGTTTTAGATTAGAATTTGTTTTTAAACTAAATCTTACTGAAAGAGAAAGTATGGTAGTTATGGTCACCGCTTCCGTAAGTCACTGTAAATTTGAATGCATGCCATCCACTCAGTTCTGAGCCTATGTTAAAAATTAGCTTCATCTAGTAATTGGGATGTAAATCATCTTCGAAGATAAAGTTATCTGGTTTCATTGCATTTGAGATATTTAGGAGGAAAAATTTACTAGCTAAATTTAAAAATACTACGATTTGAATATTTTAAAACTCTGCTCTAAACATTAGCAGAGGCACTATTAGAAGGTTTCTTTGAATTATATTCGCCTTACCTGCCAAAGTTCCATTAACTCTGTATACATTATCTCCATCGTAGAGATTGAAGGAGACGACAAAATCAGCTCCTTGGATGAAGCGAACACACCATTTTGGTATGGCAGAGAAAGTACCATCAGTTGTAATAGTTATTGGAATGCAGAACAGGCTACAGAGATCAGAGATTACTTACTCCTGAGTCATTGCACGGTAAATATATAGCTCTATATACACAGAGCATGCATTTGCGTTTATAGGAACTGTAGTGATTGTCACATCATGCTGATGGTTTAATACAAGGATCCCAGTAGCTGGCCTGGTTAGAGATGCGGTAGAGACTGCATCTAGGTGAATATGCTGTCTATGCAAGGATAAGTTCTGTTATGAAAGCAAAACGCTTTATAAATATTGTTTCATCATGGATAAGGTAAAATTTCATTACCTTAAGTCTTCCATCCTATAAAATTGAAAACAATCCTGAAGTACAAAACTTACGTGATATTAACACTAGCCGTGCTATCTTCAAAAACCAAGCCTGTCCTTGAGGCCTCTCCAAAGTCCCAATCAAAAGTGGCTCAAAATCATCAGTTCCATACAAAACCCATCAAAATTCCTATTTTCCAGCTCCAGGCACGTCTCTTTAAACGCTCTCCCATTTCTAAACTATATAAATAATAATAAATTCCTCTAAAACTGGATAAAACGGGGTTTTGGGGTTTTGGGGTTTTGGGG